TTAAATTGCCAACATGATATTTATACCAATATTACAGAGAGGACAAGCAACAAATAATTTTATTTTAAAGTTAACTGTAAATTTTCTTTAAACTTCGTGATATTTGGACATCTAGAGCACAAACTAGTTTATTTGGATCACAGCACCCGTATTGATAATAATTAGCAAATATTTTAAAAAAGTTATTTGCTTTTATTACATTGAAAGATTAACACAATTAGTGGTATTAATATTGCCAATTTAATATATGAGAACTTATAAAATCTAGAAAATTTTTAGAAAAAAAATATTTCTCTTTCACTTAGATAATGCCCAAGTAATAACAATGTATGTTGAATCATATCAAACATCTCGGCTATTATCATGTCATGGTGATATTCCATATTAGAATGTGTGGTCATATTTTTAAATTTAATTGTTCAAATGCATTTAGTAAAATAAATCCAATGATAGAAAAGGTTAGACAGTTGCTATACTCATTAATGCTTCTAAATTAAGAATTAAAAGATAAAACAAATTATGTAAAGAAAAAAATTTTAACAAAGTCACACTTAATTCCAAAAATTATGACCATATAAATTCTACCTTATGCAATGTTAAATGTCAGCAATAGAGTATAAAAAAATTATAAATATAATTTTTTCTTTTCTATACTTCTAGTTCTAGCTCTGGTAGAGATGTAGAATAGTGCATGAGATGAATGAAGCTTACTATATAGTAATTACAAGGAGATGCTTATAAGTTTTTTATTATGCTAGCTATGTATTATTGGTTATTATTATTCCAACTATAATTCAAGATGGTTCTTACAAAATTTAAAATATTCAAAAAAAAATTTATGACCAGATGTGCATCGTTGCGAATAGATTTCCGTTAAATAATGGCTCGAAAGATTAGGATTGTACGAATTTAATTTTTTTTAGAAATTGAGATAAATTTCAAGTTGATGACTCTCTGGAAGTTCTGAACAAAAAATTTTGGCTGTTCTGGGATCTAATTGGCCTTCAGGATTTTTTTTATGACGGATACAATGATTTTTACTTGATTTAGGGTGACGCCTTTCTATAGTTTCCTTTCATAACTTATTAAATCTTCGTTTGTTTTCGGCAGTTAGGAAATGTTATAGCGTGCGTTTTATTCACATTTCAGACTTCCAAACTGGGAAACGCGCAAGTGCTTGCCTCACTCGGCATATGTTTCACTTGCTAGTGACATTAGACAGTTTGGTCCTTTCTTCCAGGCCACTATAGATGCCCTCTTGCCCGCTCTTTGTAGGCGGGCAGATATTTCTTAAATCTCCTCCTCCTTTTTTTGCGGAGAGGATTTCAGTGCGTATGCTGATGTTTTCTTATGTTCCTGGTGGCTCCCTTTCCTTTTTCAATTACTATGGTATGTTATTTCTCTTTCAGATCGAGGCCCATTTGGTGTGGCTATATTTTTCTGTGTATCTACGATGTAAAGTCTTTTCGCTATTCTCCTTTAATTGGAGACTCTCATGATAATGAGTACCTCATGGAGCACCTAACCTCTTTTATTTTCTGAGTAGTTTTGTTTGGTGGTACATTGAGTGACTCCTATACAGATAGCAAATGCGTACGAACAGATTTGTATGGACTTATGTTTACGGGTTACTGTTTGATAGAATGTTAATCAATACAGTAATTACTGCTTCCGGCTGGTTTACTCATCAGTCGAATACTATTTTAGAAATTATTTTTAGGAAATTATGGAACTGGAAAAATCTTAGCTAGATGTTTTGTCATGGATATGAGAGACTATGGATAGCAAGGTTTATGAGTCCGTTATCTCTAGCTGGTAAGGAAAATGTTTGGCTGGCAAAATTTGATTTAACTCCTAACGATTCTACTGCTTTGAAGAACTCTCTGCAATTGTCAATGCATTAGAAAGTGGTTAAGACGTTTGTATGTTGATTACGGTCATGATCGTAAAAAGAACCAAAGGTATCTTGTTTGTTAAGTGACATAAACTGATAAGTTTGCTACGGTTATAGTTGTTCCGGAGATGGTAAGTAACTAAATTCTAGGAGTTTCGAAATGACTTATTAAGCGTTCTTTTTTTATTTCTTTTGAGGCAGGGAACAGGCTAATTACTCATTAGAGTCTTAGTTGATTGGATGGTGGCGTGGTGTAGCCACATGAGGATAGATGAGGACAAACTCAACTTTTTATAACGCCATTAAATTAACTCGAGGACGCACATTTTAAGCCCTGCCTGTTAATATAAAGCTTGTTGTATTTTAAATATTTCGATGGATAGCCTGGAGCCTAGACTTGTGAATGCTTGGGAAGGAGTGTGGATCTTGCGACGTGTCTGTACTTTCTCTTAAAACTCTCCATTATGAAAGGTCACGTCTGAAAATTGTCGGACAACTTTATATTATATTAACAATACATTTTACTAGGTTTTGCTTCAAATTTTCATGCTGATTGCAGTTTTTGTAAAATAAAATTCATATATAGTTTTGATATTTTTACAATGGTTCTCTAAAACAAGCTGAAAAAACTACTGGATTGAGCCATCTGACAACTGTGGTCACTAATTTCTTTTGCTGCCACATCTGGTTTGATTTCTTAGTCCTAGAAATCAAAATTGAGGCTTATTCCTTTTACTTTGGGAACACAGTTCAGTTTAATTTCCCTTGCTAATGCAACATTGTCTCTTACCAATGCATTGTCCTTAAGCGTAACTTGTGACAAACTAAGCAGCTTGGGCCCCGCAGACTTGATCTGCATCTTGACCCTCCCCCGTTTCCACGACTTATCTTCAACATCCGCCCCTTCCAGCACTAGAAGGGACGTTCCCCCCCCACCCTCCCCCCCCCCTCCCCCTCCCCTGCCGCTAGCCCTGCCCGCAACTCTGCTGAAAATGTCACTTAACCCACCTTATGTTTTGTTGGATAACCCTGTCCCTATCCAACACCCAAATTAACACCATTACATCTGACTGCGCACATGAAAATCATGTATATCCAAATGACTAAATGCACCTCGCAAAAAAACCCTTTCATATCTTTGTTAAGAATTTTAGGTGTATATTTCAGCTACCACCAGAACTTTTGCCCTATTAAGGTTTAAATTATTTAGGATTTAAATAGAGTTTTTGATTTAATAGTTAAGAGTGTTAATTTGTTCCGGGGTATTTTCTGAAACGCCCCAAGTTTAGATGGGGTTGGGTGTTAAAGTTTAATGGGTTAACTCAAAATCGGCCAAACTTGGCTAGTTTCCTGAAACGCCCCATTTGTTGGCTTATTTTCAATTTTGCATGGCGATTTTATACCAATTCTAGTCTCTGAAGATATAGAAGGGTTGAGGTATGTTTTCCCTTAACATCAGTTTTGGTTGGCATTGGATATTTCTTTATACCTAACAGATGTTAACATTATGCATACTAACTGCTCATGTATTAACTTGGAGGAGGCCACTTCAAAGACGGATGCAACTTAGAAAATGTCAGTTTGTGGAACTCGGGTCAGAATTATTTAGTATGGTTAGCCTCTCTGTTTTTTCTTCTTCTTCCTTTTAGGTATGTTTTCTTTAAACATAAGCAAACATCAACCATTTGAATTTATTTATGAGAATTGTTTTGTTCTGCAAAGATAGAGACCTGGCCTTTTGTGGGTATGCAACAAAGGATAAGTTTCCTTTTGTAGACAAGAGAGAGAAATTGCTTATACGAGGGGGTAGGTGTAGTTGTTGAATAATGAATTGTTCACCAACAGGGTAGAAGTAGGTGAAATATCTAATACCACTGCAAGATGGCGCCAGATATCTTTTTATCTCTCTATTCTTTCTGATCACTGAAATTTTGAAACAAGTATAAAGTTACAATCTTTGAGGATAAAGTGGTGGTTCTTTTGTCTCTGTCTTTCATCTAATTTTAGATGGTTACCATTTTACATCTTGCAAGCTAAGTATTCATATCTTGCAGGTTTTAATTTTATTCAACCTTCTAGTTCTTGTTGGACATGTTAATTATGTGCTTAAAGAGGTAAAGAGGCTTCCTCCCTCCCTCCCTCCCTCTCCTCTCTCTCTCTCTCTCTCTCTCTCTCTCTCTCTCTCTAT